TAATACCAACAAAATTAGCTAAAGAAAAGCTATCAGGACCTAATGAAGTATATAATTGGATAACCGTAAACAACCACGAATATCAAGGATATCATAACCAATTAATAGCCCATAACACCACTGATTATAATTCAGAAGAAAATCATAGACAACACACATTTGACCTTATAGATCGATACACAAAAAATAACAATGGAACAGATAACCCAATTTCCTCTAGAAACCATACCAACAACAATAAAATTAGCACAAGTTGCGATATTTAAGTATAATAATAAAAGATTACCAACCATACTATTAGCATAACGAATAAATCCTAACAAAATATATTATTCTTGGTACGGAATACCTGGTGGCAAACAAGAATACCCTTACGAAATATTCAAATGAATTGCAGAAAGAGAAACTTTAGAAGAAACCGGAATACTCATTTACCAAGAAAAACTGATAGAAATCAGACATAGTTATTATCCATCCAAAGATACTAATGGATATAATACTACAAGCGCAACTGAAATAAAAATATATATTCACCCTTCTAACAATCAAGAACTACTACAAATGGAACCTAATAACCATGGAACCTGGAAATATTATACCAAAGCAGAAATATTAGATCATATTATAATAACACCCAAACTACAATTACAACTTAATCTAATATTCTACTCAATAGAAAATTATCAAAAATACTAGACTTCAAGTATAAAAAAGAAGAAATCGACTTAGAAAATAAAGAGCAATTTGAAAAATTAGAATTACCAAACTTCACTTTAGACGAAGCAACTGACTTCATAAATAAATCATTTGAAAATATACAACCAATAGAAATATACCAAGTAAAGAAAACTATTCGAAATATTGAAAAACAAATATATCAACTAAAAGAAACTCAGAAAAAACTCAACACTAAACTAAAAAAATATTACCAATGAAGATACACTATAATCTTTCGATCACCGCAAAGACCACAAATATTACAACAACTAGGAACCACACCAACATTCCTGTGACTCCAAAAATCCGAACTGGCATACCAATTAATTAAAAATAAAAATTTCAAATTCAGAATTGTACAACAAGAAGACTTCACCAATAGAACAATTGGTGGAATTAAAATATGACCACTAACCCATAAACAATATAAATATGAAGCAACAATAGAAGATCTCATAATAACATACCCACATTATATTATGATGTAAACAAATAAACATCAGAAGATCAAATTACCAAAATTAATAAACTACTGGTATTACAAATCCGGACATGTCTAACTGTTACTGACCCAAGTGATATATGTTGTTTAACCAAAATAGACAATGATAAACATTTAATTACTTGAATGATTATCATTACCTATTTTGGTTAAACAACATATATCACTTATAAACAAA